GGCCTGCCCCTTTCTGAATAGAGACAGAGGAGGAGTGGATAGGGGGGTAGATGGGAGGTGGATGAAGGGACCAGAGGAGAGGAGGGAGGGGAAACTGTGGTTGATATGTAAAATAAATGAAAAAATTAATTAAAAATAAAAACAAGAGTTCTCCAGGCTCCTAAAGGAGGGCCTGGAGAACTCTTTCACTGTGGGCCTGCTTAACTCACAGCACCTTAATTAAAGAAAACCTCCATGGTCATCTTTTCCAACCTTCTCTTCTCCTTGTATTTTTATCTGATACTTCTCTGGACACTTGCCTTAATTCTGTAGATGTGTATGTGTGTCCTTTATTACCAACCCTTATCTTCTGTGTTGATGATACCAATACTATGTCTGTATGCAAAGACCATATCATCCAACAGCTTCACTCTTGAGTATTTAAACAAAAGAATGAAAGCAGGTACCCAAAATGACCCTATGTCACTCATGTTCATTGTGGTACTATTTAGAACAGCCCAAAGGTGTAATCAAGCCAAATGTCCAACAAAATATGCTCCCATACAGTGGAACGTAAGTTTGCCATTACAAGAAATGGCATTCTGACACATGTTACAATATGGATGAAACTTAAAGACCTTATGCTAACTAAAATAAGCCAAACACAAAACGACAAAAAAGTAGTATGATTCTATTCAGGTAAAATATTTAGAACAGGCAAATTCAGAGAAGTAAAAAGCAGAACAGAAGTGCCAGAAGCTAAGGCAGGGAGAGAAGCTATTTAGTGTGTAGAGGGTTTAAGATGGGAAAGTTTGGGGTCTAGATAGTGGTGATTGGCAGTCAGCATTGTAGATGCAGTGAATGCCACTGAATTGTACATTTACAAACCGTTAAAGTGATAGCCATTGTGATGCATGTTTGAAGAAATCTCCATTGCCAGAGCCACATGAGTCACTGTGGATAGGCTTCTTGCTTTCAGTGCCTTCTGCTCACTTTGTCTCCAGTATATCTGTGCACAGAGAAGGCCCCTAGAAGTGCTCAGATATGAAAACAGATGAACGTATCTAAGGAGAGGACCAACTACCCATTAAAGAGTTTCTCAGGTTATGCAGAGTCTATGCAGTTGTGCTGTGGCCCTGCAGAGGGGCAGACATACTTACCAGGTGTCTCAGTTTCTTTTTCTGTTGCCATGATAAAATAAGCTGATCAAAAGCAACGTAAGGGAGAAAGGGTTTACTTTAGCTTACAATTCCAGGTTATAGTCTATCATAGCAGGGAAGTTAGGGTGGCAGGTCTTGAAGCAGCAGAAAGAGAGAGAGAGAGAGGGGGGGGGGGGAGGGAGAAAGAGAGAGAGAGAGACTAAATGCATGCTTACACTCAGTTTTGTTTTGTTTTTTATCTTTTAAGACAGGATTTCTCTGTGTAGCTCTGGCTGTCCTGGAACTTGCTTTGTAGACCAGGCTGGCCTCGAACTCACAGAGATCTGTAACTGAAGGTTTCCTGTGTCCACCTGGCTCCTGCAGCTGCTCAGACCCAAGTAAACACGCAGAAACTTATGTTACTTATAAACTGTATGGCTGTGGCAGGCTTCTTGCTATCTAGTTCTTATATCTTAAATTAACCTGTTTCTATTAATCTATAAGTTGCCACATGGCTTGTGGCTTACCAGTACTTTACATCTTGCTTCTCATGGTGGCAGCTGGCAGCATCTCCTGACTCAGCCTTCCACTTCCCAGAATTCTCCTCTCTGCTTATCCTGCCTATACTATACTTCCTGCCTGGCTACTGGCCAATCAATGTTTTATTTATCAATCAATCAGAGCAACACATTCACAGAAAATAGAAAGACATCCCCAGCAGAGATCCACCTGCCTCTGCCTCCTGAGTGCTGGGATTAAAGGTGTGCACCACCATGCCCTGCTCTCATTTCTTTTTTCATACAGCCCAGGATGGACCAAAACCCAGAAAATGGTACCACCCACTTTTAGGTTGGTTCTTCCCACATCAATTAATGTAAACCAACCCCCCACAGACATACCCACAGGCCAACCTCAGCTTGATAATCTCTTGTTGAAACTCCTTTCCCATGTGATTCTAGATTGTATTAAGTGGACAATTAAAACTACCCATCACCCCCCAGGGAAGGAGTCAAGATCTGTGTTTCTGAGAACAGCAGAGAGGAGGAACAACAAACTGAAAACATACAATTCTCACTTGACACAAAGTGGGACCACTAGCTCGTGCCTTTGCAACACCCCAATTCCTCACGCTTTTCTCTAGGAGCAGCACAGCTATAATAATCGCAACTCTAAACAGCCGTCCGGACATGGCACTGTCACTTCTCCAAGAGTACAGTGTCTGGTATTTGTCCAGGAGACAAGCAGATTTTTCGGAATCAAACATTTGATTCACACAGAGAGCATGGTTCACAGCTAGCCAGGGTGAATGTTTGGTGCTTTTATTCTTCTTTCTTTAACTTCTCTCTAGTATGCTAGAAAATCCTGAGGGTAGGGAGATGTGATTTTTCTTAACTAAAATTGTCTCCAGTAAATCTTCATTATATTCTACAAACTTCCAAGTTTAAAAGCACAATGAACATGTTATAAAAATGACCTTCAATAATGATTTATGATATAATCTATAACCTTATGTTTAGTGACCTTAAAATCACTTCCCACTGAAATAAATAATAGTGCCAGGCAGTGGTCAATACTCCATCCTGAACATAGATAATAAAAGTACATAAATAACAGTAGCAGCCTACTTTGGCTTGCTTGTGTGTGATGTGGAGCTAGTACCAAAATCTTCTGACTCTTATAATCCAGAACTCCTTTCCCAGACAATTTTGTGAACAGAATCCATGTGGGGATAAAGATCAGATTTCTTGGCCAGGCTCAAAGTGACAACTCAGCTGTCTGAGAACATCTGACAAGTGAGAGATAAAGTGCTCAGAACAAGATGTTCAGAACTAAGAGTTCATTTGAGACCTGTTTTAGTTACTGTTCAATTGCTGTGAAGAGGCACCATGACCAAGGTAACTTATAAAAGAAAGCATTTAATTGGAGGCTTGCTTACAGTTTCAGAGGGTGAATCCATTATGATCATGGCAGGAAGCATGGCAGCAGACAGGCAGGCATGGTGCTGGAGCAGTAGCTAAGAGCTTACCTTTTATCTGAAACTTAGAGGCAGAGACACTGGACTTGGTATGGACTTTTGAAACCTCAAACCACACTCCCAGTGATATACTTCCTCTAATGAGGCCAGACCTCATAATCCTCCCCAAAACAGTTCCAACTAGGGACCCATTACTCAAATATATGCGCCTATGAGAGCCATTCCCATTCAAACAACCAGAGTCTTTTTATAGGCTGTATGCCTTCCCACCAGCATGGGCACAGCTACAAGCTCTGCTGGGATGTCACCTTAGCTGAAGGTTTATTGTGGAGGTACAAATTAGACAAAACAGGTGGGCCTAGGACCAAAGGAGGTGTCTTTGCCATCAGTGGCCAGTTGTTGAAACCAAAATAACCAAAATGTCCAAAATAATATGAATACCTTGGATCTGGAAAGACATCCACATGGAATGGGGTACAAGTATGTGATTAGAACCCAGTGCCAAGTGCTGGCAAGATTCTGAATCATAGTGGGTAAGGTATATAGTAAGACTCAATTACTGGCTCAGAACAGTTACCTCCAGCACTGTGGAGAGAGAAATGCAAGATCTGGGAAGGCTACAAAAATAAGGGTCTGGTTTGGGAGACACAATGACAATTTCAGTATAGGAACTAGCCACAAGGTCAAGACTTTGGGTGTCTTTTGGGAATGCTTCTTGCTATAGCAGAGAAACAACTAACAATGGTTAAACTCCAGAGATAAGCAGACCTATGTTGTTATTTGGTTTTGCTCTTTGCTCTTTTGGGGGCCCACCACCTAGCTCCCAAATAAATACATGGAGGCTTATTATTACTTATAAATGCCCAGCCTTAGCTTGGCTTGTTTCTTGGCAGCTTTTCTTAACTTTAAATCATCCCACCTACCTTTTGCCTCTGGGCTTTTTCCTTTCCTTACTACTGTATATCTTACTTTCATTCTTACTCCATGGCTGGCTGGGTGGCTGGGTGGCTGTGTGGTTGTGTGGCTGGCCCCTAGCATCCTTCTCTCCTTGTTCTCTTGCTCTTTCTACTCCCCCCCCCCAGATTTCTCTATATATTCTCTCTGCCTGCCAGCCCTGCCTATCCTTTCTTCTGCCTTGCTTTTGGTCATTCATCTCTTTATTAGACCATCAGGTGTTTTAGACAGGCACAGCAACACAGCTTCACAGAGTTAAACAAATGCAACATAAAAGAATGCAACACATCTTTGCATCATTAAACAAATGTTCCACAGCATAAATAAATGTAACACATCTTAAAATAATATTCTACAATAGACCTAGGATTTTAGTTTTCAGTGTTTGTCTATGTAGCCTTTATTCAACTGGAACTGGTACTGTGGCTAAAGCTGCCCTCATACTTGTTACAATTTTTCTTTCCTCACCCTCCTAAACTCTAGGATCATGGGCATGAGCCAACATGACTGGCTTCAATCTTAGGATTATGTCTCTCTGCTTCTCTGTCTCTTCCTCTGTGTGTATGTTCATGTGTATGCATGTGGAGACCAGATATCAACCTTGGGTGTCATTCTTTGTCTTACACATTGTAGACTGTCACTGGGGCTCACTGACTAAGCTAAGCTGGGTGGTCAGCAAGCTCCAGAGATGTTACAAGCACACACCATCATGTCTTGATTTTTGTATAGATCCTGGGAATCAATGTCCAGTCCTAATGGTTGTGTAGCAAGCATTTTACCAAGTGAGCCATCTCCCAAGCCCCAATCCTACATTTCTTTGAGCAGCTCAGCAATGTCATTGAAATATTTCAGGGTTTTTTTTTCCATCATTACCTTCTACTATTCTTCAATATATTGTCTAGTTGATGGCGTGAACCCGAGAGAATGGAGCATAAAAATGAGGCAGACTAAAGTCGCATGCAATAGTCAACTTTATTCAGCACATCAGATAATTTATACTCTGAGAGTTAGGAAGAATCACCCGAGTAAAGTATACAACCACAAGGACAAGCCACACATGGCAAAAAAAACAACATATTTTCTCATAGAGGCATATGAATAACAACACCTGAAGTAAACTCACTCCTATCAGCTACACATGGGAGGAACACAAAAACACATTCCAAGAACAATTCTGTTTTTTGAAGGCACTAGAGTCACAGACTCTTGTTTTCTTGGAGTTTTCTCACAAGCACTCGGAATTCCCCTCACATGACTCCATTCTTGGATCATGTTGCGACATCTATCTCACCCCTTTTTAGTTTTTGATTGCAGGATATGCAAAGTGGTTTTGATTTGAGATGTTATAGATAAATCTAGTTGTCATTTGATGAGTATCCTATAAGCAAGCAAATTATATTAGAACAGTGAAAGCATTGTGTGTAATACTCTGCCACCAAGAAGCACCAAGCATAGAGATACAAACTATGTCCTGTACTATTAGTTACATTATATTAATCAGAAAAATCTAGAGACTAGCTTGAAAAGAGACCCAAATGATTAGTAGTTCTAGTATCTTGTAGAAAGAACATAAGCCCATATTTGTCTTTAATAGGAATACAAGTGTTATGATGGCCTATGCAAATGGGAAGTGATTCAAATACCAAGGAAAAATTAAATGCAGTCCCTTCTTCAGATGGATGAATGAATCTTTTATGGTCTCAAGGTCCAGTCAGAAACACAGAGTCATTAGTAAAATAACTTCTCCCTTGGTGCATAGAGCTGTAACTTGGCCCCAGGTGGGCAGACTTGACTTCTGGTGATATGATTGATATCTCCTTTTGCCGTTTAGCTGGAGGGAGGTTTGCTATCTTTCTGGTGACTTCCACAGTGTCCTTGATGGCCCGGGGCTGGAGGAGACAAAGAGGAATCCATGATGTTTCAGTGAATCCATCTGCAATGACAGACACATACCCCTTCCAAATTTTCTTCTGGAGAAGTAAAAATAGAGCAGTTTAATGCATCAGCTTGCTTATTTCCTTCTACAATAAAACCAGGGAAGCTAGAGTGTACATGGAGTATAAGTCAGTTGCTAGAAGTACTAAGCACAATCTGAAACAATATTTAGGGGGGTATGAATTAACCATAATAGATGAATCAAAACAGCCAGTCCCATCTGTTTGGCTAAGAAAAAAAGAACCATTAATAGACTGATAATATTTGGGCCATGAACTACTCTATACCATTAGATGACCACGGATAAAATAAATATCTACCTGTGGAATGGGAGAAGATTGGACCATTTTTGTAATCAAAAATGCAGTTTGTATGAGAAAATCCCATAGTTTGCCAGCTGGAAAATTATTTCCTATCCTTCCATAATAATCTGAAAATGAAATTTGAAAATCCATAGTGTTCTGTAATGCTTTTAAAAACTGATTGTTAGGGCTGGAGAGATGGCTCAGCAGTTAAGAGCACTGACTGCTCTTCCAGGTTCAATTCCCAGCACACACATGACAGCTCACAACTGTTTGCAACTCCAATTCCAGGGAACCCCAGACATACATGAAGGCAAACACCAGTGCACATAAAATAAATAAATAAATTTAAAAAATAATAAAATAAATAAAAACTGATTGTTAGTTAAGGGTAATATAATACAGCAAGGATCAAGTGCTGTGGAATGTTCTGTATGTTAAATGTGTTGCTCTGTTTGGTTAATAAATAAAACACTGATTGGCCAGTAGCCAGGCAGGAAGTATAGGCAGAAAAAGCAGAGAGGAGAATGCTGGAAGGTGGAAGGCGGAGGCAGAGAGACGCTGCCAGCCGCTGCCATGAAAAGCAAGATGTAAGGTACTGGTAAGCCACAAGCCACATGGCAACTTATAGACTAATAGATATGGGTTAATTTAAGATATAAGAACTAGATAACAAGAAGCCTGCTGAGGCCATACAGTTTATAAGCAAGCTGCGGCCATACAGTTTATAAGCAATATAAGTCTCTGTGTGTTTACTTGGTTGGGTCTAAGTGGCTGCGGGACTGGCGGGTGAGAGAGATTTGTCCTGACCATGGGCCAGGCAGGACCAGGAAAACGCCAGCTACAAATGGCACCCAATAGGTTGGCAAGAGTTTCCACCTAAAACCTGAGAAAAAAAGATTCTAAAACGGAGCTAAAAACAGCTTCCTAGTTGTCTCTCTCAAGTTAGCAGCAGCCTGCGGGTTTGAGCTACTCTATGGTGGGTTCCTGGCATGCGTGTGGGCTTGACCTATGCTATGTTATACAGAGGTGTCTCCAAGCTGCGCACTGTGCTGTGTGTTGGATATAGTTTTTGCTAGTTTTTTTTTTTTTTAAAAAAAGAGGTTTCTGGGCTACATGCTGCTTTGATAAAAGCATAGACCCACTGTTTCTAAGAGTTGATGGCTCCCAGAGCCAGCGGTAAATGTACTACCGCCATGTTGGGAAGCTGAGGTGGGCAGAGCCAGCAGCCACAGCACTGTTTCAGTCTTAGAATGCTGCAGTTTAAAGCAATAGGTTCACAATAAGACAGATTCAGATACAATAGTCTATGATGTGTGTAAAATATATGTAGGCTTGAAAGAGACAAAAAAAGTGATATATACAGTTATATAAACAAATACATAGTTTTAAAAAATAAAGCCTTTAAAGAGACAGTAAAATCAATATAAAAAATAAGCCACATAAAGATGGATATTACACAGAGAGTTTGGATTGTGTTGTCTTGGGGATTTTTAACTGCAGAAAAACATTTGATCATAAAAGCTGTTGAGTTAAGCCAATATGTATATTTTAAAGGTACCTTGACTTCAAAATTTGGATGTAAGGAGATGTCGCTTTGGAAAGGAGGCTCTGCTTTTGTTTCCACAGAAAGCCAGAGGCTGTGGATTTGTTCTAGATTAAGATCCATCAGGTTTGACCAGCCAAGACCCCCTGAAAGGTCTCCAGTGACACCATGGCCCAGATGATCCAACATCCAGAATAGTTTCAAGGCAACTGGCTCAGATGATATACCCTCACAGACTACTCCATAATCCTAAAATTTTCTTTGTGTCCCCATAAGATACAGCGCCCCCCTCCACCAGGAAGTAGTATGAGAAGCTATGCCCCAAATCCCAAATATACCAAGCTGGCTTTGGAGATGGAATCAGCTCATTCCTTCTCTAAACCCAAACATATTGCCCCCCCCCCAAAAAAAAAAAGGTAGAGAGATTATTTTGCCCCATATGAGAAGAGTCATCTGGTATGGGACAGAGAAAAACAAATATTTTATTTAAATTGGGTTGATTATAAATGCGATCTCAGGGCTGGAGAGATGGCTCAGTGGTTAAGAGCACTGGCTGCTCTTCCAGAGGACCCAGGTTCAATTCCCAGCACCCACATGGCAGCTCACAGCTGTCTGTAATTCCAGTTCCAGGGGTCCAACACTCTTACACCAAGGCACATAAAATAAAATTAAATAAATTTATAAAAAAAATAAATAAATGTGATCTCTTTCTAAAGAAGAAAAGGGGATATGATATAGATATGATAGGATGAAAGGGTAGATTATTGAATCTACTTTTTTTTTTTTTTTTTTTTTGGTTTTTCGAGACAGGGTTTCTTTGTGTAGCTTTGCGCCTTTCCTGGATCTCGCGCTGTAGACCAGGCTGGCCTCGAACTCACAGAGATCCGCCTGCCTCTGCCTCCCGAGTGCTGGGATTAAAGGCGTGCGCCACCACCGCCCGGCTTGAATCTACTTTTAAAGAGCAACTTGTTTAAAATGTTTTACATTGCTATGGATTTTAGTTTATTGATACAAGTTTAAACTTAATTTTGTTATATTGTATATATATTTCTGCTCTTATTTGAGGTTTTATGTTTATGTAACTCATTTAGATTGTAATGGATAATTAAGAAATACAGATTAATAATTAGTCTTCTATGATAGTCAAACTTGTAGCATGTTAGTTAAGTTTTCTAGGTATACGTAGACATATTTCAGATAGATATGTAATCTTTAAACACTTCAAAGACCTATAGAATATGGCATTTAAAATGTTTTAAAAATTTAGACTTTCTGGACAGTGAGACATGTCTGCTCCTGGCAGCACTGATTTACTTCAGAGAGAAGGATGGGCATTGAAGACACTCCATATGGAGTTTATCTTCACCTTGGAAAAATAGCCATTTGGGCAAGAAACTGTTCTTGCCTGGACTGCTTGAAAAGAATGTATCAACTGGACATGCAGGACCCATAGGAAGGTGACCACTGAACTTTGCTTGGCAAAACGGTCCTTCAGGTTCCTGCTTCGCAGAAGAAACTGCCAGACATTCTACAGGACACAGAGAAAAGTGACTGAGAGACTCTAGGCCCGTGGGCTGAAGACAGATGCCCCAACTTTATAGAGAAACTTTGGATGACTGTCCAGGCTGCCAGCTGTCTCTGTCTACGCTTGCAAGACTCCCAAAAGTTGCTTGCATCCTTCTACCGTTTCTCAGGTAATATTATATCCTTCTGAGGTCTTTGATGTAGTTGAAGACTAGATAGTTATAATTTTCCTTAGTTATGATAAAAGATGTTAGATATGAAACCTTACACTCACAAATATAAGATAGATAGGATATCTTCTTTAATTTTGCCAAATACTAGTTATTATAAATAGACTAGATATTATAACTGTAATTCTTGCTTGATAATTCTTGTGTTATCTGTAATTTTACTATGTGAAAGCTAAAACCTTCCTTTTAAAAAAAGAAAAGGGGAAGTGCTGTGGGATGTTCTGTATGTTAAATGTGTTGCTCTGATTGGTTAATAAATAAAACACTGATTGGCCAGTAGCCAGGCAGGAAGTATAGGCGGGACAAGCAGAGAAGAGAATTCTGGGGACAGGAAGGCTGAGGCAGAGAGACAAAAGTGAGATGTAAGGTACCGATAAGCCACGAGCCATTTGGCAGCTTATAGACTAATAGATATGGGTTAATTTAAGATATAAGAACTAGATAACAAGAAGCCTGCTGCAGCCATACAGTTTATAAGCAATATAAGTTTATGTGTGTTTACTTGGTTGGGTCTAAGCGGCTGTGGGACTGGCGGGTGAGAGAGATTTGTCCTGACCATAGGCTAGGCAGGACCAGGAAAACACCTGCTACAATCAAGTCCATATAATTGTGGACATCAGTTCCTCCCTGATTTACTAATTGAACAAGAAGAGTAAGATAAGCACTTAGTATTTTATGGCCCTTGCAGGGTAAATAGATCCAGTCCAAAGTTTCTCCTCTTGTGCTGTAATATCAATGGCAGACAATGTAAAGGGGAAAATATGTAAGTTTAAAGGCAGTGAAGGAGCATACTGTACACAAATGCCTTTTAGTCTGCATTCAAATAGCTGTGGTTCTTTTCTTGCCTCTCAAAATAACATTCAAGGACTGTCCAGTGCAGCCCCTCCTTCTTGAGTTTTAAATAGGTTGGGTAGTGCCTGATTAGGTAAACATTTTGATTTTGCTGAAATTGCCCTGGAAGTACCAAGAGCAGTTCATGAGGCTGTGGAAGAATTGGGAACTGAATTCCATTTCTCTGGCCTGCCCTAGCTTGCCTAGGTTGTAAACTTAGCATTTTTTTTATTTTTTATTTTTTTTAAACTTAGCATTTCTATAGGCTCTCCTAAATCCTCACCAGGAAGTGGAGAGGATTGAAGATTAGATTATCAAATTCCTCACCGCATGCTTCAGGGTCACTTGCAGTCAATGAAGGATCCATATCTAAAGGAGGACCCAGGAAGGGAGCTCAGGAAAGTGTCACTGTCACAGTTGTCAGTGGTGCTGTTTCGACTTTTGATTTTTCCTGAATGGGAAAAGAAATCTCATTTTGCCTCTTCTACCAATTGTAAGGTTTGATCATCCAGTTTATATTCACTCAATGAGTTAGCCATCTCTTCCTCATGATTAATATCCTCCTTATCTTCCTTAAGCATTTTAATAAGTCTGAATTAACGCCCAGGTGACCCAGAATTGAACAGGGTTCTTTCGCCCTGTCCATATTTCTTCATCTGAAGTTCCTTCTAGAAACCAGCAATTATGGGGCTGGAGAGATGGCTCCATGGTTAAGAGCAGTGACTGCTCTTCCAGAGGACCCGGGTTTAATTCCTAGCACCAACATGGCAGCTCACAACTGTCTGTAACTCCAGTTCCAGGGGACCCTGACACCTCATATAGACATACATGCAGGCAAAACACCCATGTTCAAAAAAGAAAAATAATAAATTTTAGAAACCAGTGATTATACTTGTGTTCCTCCTTTCTTTAAAAAAAAAAAAAAGATACACAAGCTTGCCAAAAGGCAAAACCCTCCCTGGTTTCTACCCCATCATGCTCACTCGCCTTTCTGTGAGGGCCCTCACTCTCTTATAGCGGACTTCAGGTCCCTGATTCGTGGTGCCACTTGTTTGCCGCTCTCGTTGGCAGTGTGAACCTGGGAGAGCAGGGTCTAAAAATGAGGTGGACTAAAGTCTCATGCAATAGTTAACTTTATTCAGAGCATCAGGCAATTTCTACTGTGGGGGTTAAGAAGAATCACATGAGTGGAGTACGCAATCACAACAATGAGCCGCACGTGGCAAAAACATGTTTCTCCACAGAGGCACATGAATAACTACAGCTGAAGAAAACTCGCTCCAATCCGCTACACCTGGGAAAGGCACGCAAACACATTCCAAGAACTGTTCCGTGTTCTGAAGAAACTGAGGTCACAAGACTCTTGTCTTATTTTCTTGGAGTTTTCTCACAAGCACTCAGAATTCTCCCACAACTCCATTCTTGGACTATGTTCTTGGGTATGTTGCTTAATAACAAATAGCTGAACCATTTCCTCATGCTAGTGTCCCCAAGTGCAGAAAACACGGTATTACAGTTTGAATATGAAGTGTCTCCCACAGGCTCATGGTGTATACACACACACACACACACACACACACACACACATATATATATATATATATATATATATATATATATATATATATATATATATATATATATATATATATATATATGGTGATTCTATGATTCTATTTAGGGGATAGCAGAACCTTTAATAGATAGTACCTATCTGGAAAAAGTAGGCCACTGGGGACCAGTCTTTATGGATATAGTATCCCAGGAATCTTGTGCTATTCCCCCTTTGTGCCATGTAAAAAGACTATGCCCCCCCCACACTCTCATCATCATACCTTCTGCTCCATGACAAACTGAAATCACTCTGAAACTGTGAACCAAGTTAAACATTTCCTCCCCTAAGTCATTTCTGTCAAGTATGTTGTAATTAGAAAATTAACTAATACAAAGAGAGAAGTACTTCTCAGAGAAATTCCCCTGATATTCCCTTGACAACAACTGTGCCATATAACTGCCTACAAGATCAAGATCAAGTAGGATTTTTTTTATTATTTTCCTAGTGTGAGGGAGACAATGGAAAAGAGGAATGATTAGTGGATAATGAGGTGAGGTGACAGCATCTGCCACAGTATGGCAGAGAGGCTGTATCTTGAAAGGAAATGCTGAGGCAGAGGGATTCCCCATCAACTATCCCAGACATGACAGCCAGACCAATTGAACCCCATTTCCCTGTGGGAATGGGGATCCTAATACCTTTGTTTGGATGCCTCAGTCTTGTATTGGACTAAGTGGTTGAAGAGGTCTTTACCATGACAAATGTTTATAGAAAATCCCCTGTAACTGAATACTGCAGGCTCAAAGCACTGTCATCATGCAAGAAGTATTATGAAAGTCCATATTATGCTCTTCTGGAAGCCTCGCTGCAGCCACCAGTTAGGGCTTCAACCCTGAATCCATGTTACGAACTTCCAGACTTGCCCTGGCCCTACTCAGGTGAGGGGTGGCATTACCATCCCAGGGCTTACCTATGCCCCTTCCACCCTCAGAGTTGTATAAGAGACCAAGGTCACATAGTAGGTTCTGTAGTGGGCTTTTGAGATATCCTGACAACTGAGTGTCCTGATAAAACTAGATGAGGCCTATCCTCACAGGCAGAATTCCAAATCACAGTTGCAGTTAATGTCTAAGTGGCATTCACTATGAGCTAGAAATAAATGTTATGCCCTTTTGTTTACTAAATGAGACATAGAGAAATTAAGAAATTTGTTCAAGGTAACGCAACTAATTAATCAGCAATGCCAGAATTTGAAGCTAGGCAGCTTGCTCTGGAATCTATTCTCTTCATCACTTTACTGTCTCTTATCCAAGGAAATTTTGCAAAATAGCTGTAAGGAGAGAAAGACACCCAAAATGAATGATGTCCCAAGAGAATGTGTATTGTTGACATAGGCACAACCATGACAAAAACCAAGGCCTCAGGCCCACGGGAAACTGGCCAAACCTATCCCCATATGGGTCCAGCTTAGGAGTGATAAAATCTCCTTCCCCTAGTCCAAATATGAGTACTTACAAATGATTGATTCATGTGTGTAAAAACTAGCAACCACAGCTTCCTCCTCGTGGATGTTTAGGACTTGAGACTGCTTATCTACAGAGACTTCCTACTGAGCCTAGCTAACAATACTCCCTCCCCACTGCCTCCCCACACCTCCTCTGCCGTATATAATAAACACTGCTGAGGTCACAGGATGCAGAGGAAGTAGGTGCACCTCTATCACAGCATGCATAGTGCACCTGACTCCAGATTTTTTGGTACATATGTCTATCATTTCTTCATCAACTCGCCACCCCTAGTCAGGGTTCCAGACCCAAGCTTTGCAGGTCATAGCACATAGCCAAAAATAGTTGTCAGCTCATAGAGGCAATAGGAAATGTACAGATGAAGTAGGGAGGAATGACAGGCACTGTCCTTTGTTTTTTCTGTGATCCCCCCGTCCCTGGTCTGAGCCTTTACCCAGCTCTGTGGCAACAGCTCATGGTGGCATCAGTTAAGCTGTAAGGACTACTTTATCTGAACAGACGCATACTGTGTTAACAAAAGCCTAAACGAAGAGTGTCTACTCTAAACATCTGCGGGAAAAGTGGTCTCTGTACTTGGGATGCCCTTGGCCAGGCAAGATCAGCCACGGCTCTTGTTAGAATAGGGTTGTCACTCAGGTTACACTCACCATTTCCACGTAATGGAGTCTTTGTGAACTTTTTAAGATATATAAACAAAACATCTTACTTCTGCTGAAGTTACTTCAGAGAGTTTTTAAGGCTGCCTGCTTAAGACATGAAATAACTCTGGTCTTAACTCTTGGAGTTATCCCACACCAATACCTCAAACACAGAGCTTTCTCCAATCAGTTTTAATTACTGTCGACAGGTGTTTTTTGTTTGTTTACTTGTGAAGTGCCAAATATAAAATTCACTTTAAGAAGGCCTTTTATACAGATAGAATTCACTCAGGGTTCTTATCAAAACTTGTTTACTACTCTATAAAATAAACCAAATCTGAGCTACGATACGAGGACTGTTTATGAACAATAATATTTTGAGGTTATAATGATTAAAGTGAATCTCCCTCTGATTTTGGACAAAACACTTAGGTAACACTGATTCTTGTCTAGGCAAATACAAAAATTCTCAAAGTTCAAAAATTATATTCAATCCAGAGGCTGGAAGTAGAATCAGTGTTAGAACACACGCTTAGCATGCAAAAGGCCCTACCTAGGGTTGATTCCCAGCACCATAAATAATAACCTAAGTCTGGCATTTAGGATTTGCTTTGGGATGGTGTATGAGTCACAGGGCACATACATAATATATCCAGCCAAATGATGACTCTCTAATTATAAAATCCAATTCTGAGGCTGCCATTACCTCATCTCAAATGGCATACAATGGGTGACACTAATGACATAATCACCAACAAGTACTTCATCCAACCTCTTTGACTACTTAACACTTACTGTAAAAGATGAGCAATACAGAATGAAGACTTTATTCTGCACTGCTGAACTAGAAACTTAAGTTTTGGGATACAGTCCAAAAACCACTAACTTAGACGTTCTTGTTGCACTGATTAAGGATAAGGACTGGCCTTGGGTAAGAGGATGAACCACAAAAAGTAGCAACCCCCTGGCTCTGATGTTCCAATTATCCAGACTGTTTAGATCCATTTAGGTGTGCCACCCAGACTCATAGAAAATGAATATTGGCGGTGACATTACAAATTAGCAGCTCAAAACTAAAATGTAGTTTCTGGATAGAGCAATGGATAACATGCTCCCTTCCTTTCAAGACAACCTGTCTGCAAGGTAGAGAAAACCAGTAATCATCTGACTAGATGAGGGTAGCCTGTGGCAACAACTTCAAAACTTACAACCAGAAAAGAGTATTTCTTATTTGTGTCTTTCACAGCTCTGTGCTCTTCTGTTACTTCAGGCCACAGAGGCAAAAGGAAACGAAACCTCATGAACCAAAGCAGGGGTGCTAGAAGGAGGAGAGGGAGACCGTTTAGGAGATCAGAAATGTAACTTGCCACAAGTCATGGAATTCTCTGTCAGAAGGGCTTCAAGATTTTTTCAAAACTGCCCCCTTACAACTCTATTACCTAAGGAAGTGTGTGTGTGTGTGTGTGTGTGTGTGTGTGTGTGTGTGTGTGTGTGTGTGTGTGTTATGTATGTGTTCCATATATGTTGTTTGTGCATGTGGAGGCCTAGGGTCAATATTGAGTGTCTTTCCTCAATCACTCTCCACCCTTATTTTTTGAGACAAAGTTTCTCACTGAACACGAAGCTCATCAATTCAGTTAGCCTGGCTGACCAATGCTTCAGCAATCAACTATCTCTACTCCCTACCCCAAGGCTGAGGTTACAGGAGCATGCTGCCACCTCTAGCTTTTTA